AATTGAAAAGGGAATTAAGTAAGTCTTACCCACAGTTGATGAGTTGGAGGGAGAGGGTGTGGCCGCAACTGTGTCCATAAGTGTCAATGGTGTGTCTGTGTCAGTGGTTACAAAAGTATGTGTAGGCAATGATGTGGGTGACGGTGTGGACACGGTGGTAGGCTCTGACTGAGAAAATGTAGGCAATGATGTGGCTGTCAGTGTGGGCATGGCATTTTGCTCTGATTGAGAGACTCGTCTCCGACGTCCAGGTCCAGCCATTTTTACCTAGAAGAAGTTAGTGCTTCATATGCTAATGGAAAGAAAAATATGTCACAAAGCTAGCAAATTAGTAATTAACATCTCTTAAATAAAATTACTAAAATACTATTTACTGGTATTCAACTAGTCAGAAGCAAGATTTAAATTGTAATTAAGTTAATCATGAGAGTATCTGCAAAATTTCTAAAACAACACCATGTGAGTGTTTGGAAGGGTTCATTCCCAAATCACAAGAATAATATGGAAACCTTGATAGGTCGAGTGGATCTATGAGGAAGAATCCAGTGGTGGCTAGTTGCTGAAGTAAAGAGGGGTTTTGGAATGTTAAAGGGGTGAAATTACCTGATTTGTTAGTACATCCCTCTCTGACTTGATAATCATACAATAATAAATTCACAAATATATTGACAGAAGATTCCTCACAAAAAAAAAAAAAAAAAAAAAAAAAAGAAACAAATAAAAAACCCTAATTAATAAGAAATTCATAAATTTATAGAACTATTATGGATACTAACCTTCTAATGCAGATTCAAATTGTTTGATGGAAGTTGATTGTGCTTTAAATTGCTTCAAGAACACATACTTTGTATTGGGTCTTTGTTTGAAGGGAGAAGACATGCAGAAAGGGTGAAAAAGAAGCGCAGAGATATATATAAGAGGCGGAGAGAGAGGGGGGAAGCTAAAATGTTATTTAGCGCTAAAAATTTATTTTGCCCGGTAAATGATATTTTCAATGTTTCTTACCAAAATGAAATTTTTGGCACTGTTTTTTACCAAAATTATTTCACTTTTTCTTATCAAAATGAATTTTTTTGCAGATATTTAATTTGCTCGGGAAAAAAATATTTTCACTGTTTCTTACCAAAATAAAATTTGTTGCACATATTTAATTTAAAATAATTAAAATTTCAAGAAACTAATTTAATCTAATTAAATGAAATAGTATATCTATAATATAATCATAATAAATTCAATCAATTTTTAAAATTTTAATATAAATATATTTTTTTATACGAGGTTTTTTTTTTCTCTAGCTATTCCCATTTCATAATTTAATATTACTTGAACTAAATATTAGCACAAACCATAATACACCTAGATTAGTTAGTTCATTGGCTTGGATTAGTAATTGTGTAAATTTTTATATACAACTAATTTATTACACGGGCTTGTATTCAAAGAACTATAATTCTAATTAAGGATGCCAACGGGACAAGTTACAAAGCACAGGCACAAGCCCTTTCCCAAACTCGTTCTACCAATATTTTTTTTCCAAACCCAATTTCGGGCTCCACACATTGGAGTCGTGGCGGATTCGGGCACCCAAATATACATATAATTAAACTTAAAAATATTTAATATAATTTTTTAAAATTTGTTTAGTATAATCAAATATTTATCACAAAAATATAATTATTTTTAAAATTTAAAATCATCAAAGAAATGAAGAAAAAATAAAAATTATAACAACATAAAATAATATTTATTTATAAATTTATTATTAATCGGGGCAGTTTGCGGGTTTTACAGTTTTCCCAAACACGATCGTAGGAATTCACGATCGATCGTGACTTGAGCATAACAGTTTTAATTGATCGTTTTGGGCTCTAATTTCAAAGGACCAGGGTATATGTGAGTACTTGACTTGAAGGTACAACTCTGACTCATTTTGACCTCCAAGAGACACCTATAAATAAAGAGGATTGAACCATCTTTACAAGGGTTAAACATTTTGGAATTGAATAGCTTAGAAGAACCTCTAGATCTACTCTCTCTCTCTAGTGTTTCAACTAAAGAAAAAGACGATGAACCCAAGCTTGGAGATGGATTGTGAGCCAACCTTGATGACATCTACCTTCTTCGTGAGTGGCTAGTCCTTCACTTAGGGCTTAGATGAGCCATAAGCTTGTATAATTAAACTATTGTCTTTCAATTTTTAGGGAATTATGTAATATAATTAGTGTTATGGTCTTGTGTACTATACCAAGGCTTTTATTGATAATTCTTCCTATTGATTCTTTATGTTGGTTGCTTGTTGTCTTATGTGTAATTAATTGAGGATTAATCTCTACACTAAATGTTTTTTATTGTTTAGTGATGGCCACGCATGATTCTTATTGGATTCAACTGTTAATTAGTTTGATGGATTATGCTTAGTCTTGATGAGTTACACTAGTTACATCATTAGATTAATTGTAGTTAGATAGACAATTAATGCTTAAATTTGATAGTCCATACTTATTATTGTAATTTGTATTATTCTCTTAACATTGATATGTGCTTGTAGCCACATTTTCATTACAATAAGTTTTCCCCATTAATTGAAGACAAGTGGTTTAATGCAAAAGCTTAGTGGTGAGTTATATGTCATAAGTCTCTCTTCCTATCTTTAAACCTTATTTACTTTAATGTTAATTTCTATTGCATGTTCATTTAAATCAACATTAGTTTAATTAACCAAACAAACTTCCTTTCAATCTCACGTTCACTACGTCAAGTTAGATTCCAAGCCATATATCCCAGTGGAAGATCCCTTCTCACTATACTCACCTATACGTGTTAAGTGGCTTTTATAAATGTAAAAGTTGATACACATTTGACATATCAAATATAACACATTTTTGTGATACACACCAAAGTCGCATCAACATTCAAAAGTACTGCTAATATATTCAGAACTTCTAATTCATTATTCTGCTAATATATTCGTAATTGAAGTGAATTAGTGAACACCTTTAGAACTGCTAATAGCCTAATACATTTTTAGAACTATTAATTCAACAAGAAATTAACATCTTAGTTCAAAAAATTAACCAACAATATTTAGCCACTGTAGAATTATATTACTCCATATTATATATATAATTTGATACATATACATATATATAACTTAACTGTTCGATTTGGTCGAGTTTGATCTTAAAGGATCTCAAACTCTGAACAAATTGTATGTATGTGTGTGTGTGTATATATATATATATATATATTCTCTTATTTAAATTTAAATATGAATTATACAAATTATCCCTTAACTTTATTATTAGAATTAATTTATCATTAAAAAAAATATTTATAACTACTATTTTATAAAATGATTAACTTATTATTAGAACATTGGTGCATTTTTGGCAATAAGTGGTATTACGCACAAAATATAATTCAAGGGGTTTATTTGCAAATTTAAGCATAGTTCAGATAGTTTTTTGCACTTTACTATATATTTATATATACACACACACTTTTATATATTAAAAATATACCTTATGATAAGTTTTAATTTTTCTTATTATTTTCCAAATAAGTATATGGTGACAGAAGGCTAATTTGTGGCAAGAATTTACTCTTTTGTAATGAAATATCTTTTGTCGCTAAAAGATAGAAATTGACGACAATTAATTTGTCACAAAAAGTCTATCAATTGTGACAAAGTTAAATTTGTCACAATAACACAATATTTTGCGACAATGCATCATTTGTCACTAGAAGGTTGTTTGTAGCGACAACAATTTTTGTCGTTAAAATACCATCAATTATGACAAAGTTAAATTTGTCACAATAACTCAATCTTTTGCGACAATGAATCATTTATCACTAGAAGGTTGTTCGTAGCGACAAGAATTTTTGTCCCTAAAATGCCATCAATTGTGTGACAAAGCTATATTTGTCACAATAACTCAATCTTTTGCGACAACGCATCATTTGTCACTACAAAGTTGTTCGTAGCGACAAGAATTTTTGTCGCTAAAATGCCATCAATTGTGACAAAGTTATATTTGTCACAATAACTCAATCTTTTGCGACAATGCATCATTTGTCACTACAAGGTTGTTCGCAGCGACAAGAATTTTTGTCGCTAAAATGCCATCAATTGTGACAAAGCTATATTTGTCACAATAACTCAATCTTTTGTGACAACACATCATTTGTCACTAGAAAGTTGTTTGTAGCGACAAGAATTTTTGTCGCTAAAATGCCATCAATTGTGACAAAGCTATATTCACAATAACTCAATCTTTTGCGACAACGCATCATTTGTCACTAGAAGGTTGTTTATAGCAACAAGAATTTTTGTCACTAAAATGCCATCAATTGTGACAAAGCTATATTTGTCACTAAAATCTAGTTAATCGCGACAAAGCTATATTTGTCACTATATTGTAATTAGTTGTGACAATATATTTGTCACTAAAATCAATTTTGTCGCCGTACCCTTTCCCGCCATATAGTTGGGCGCGAGGAAATTCCCGGGATAGATATTGCGACAACTTTTTGTGACAAATTTGATTTTTGTCGAGTAAATTTAGCTTAAGGCAACAAAGTTACTTTTTGTCACAAAAGATTATTTTATTGCGACAAATTCATCTTGTCGCTATAGTTTTTGTCACCAAAGACCAAATTTGTTGTAGTGAAAATTGATAAAAAGAACACAAAACTATTCCCCAAGCAAAATTTTCTATTAGTTTAAATCTAAATCGGGAGCGAATTAAGTCATAAATAGTGAAAATTTGAGAAGAATTGTGTGACTTAAGTTTAAATTATAAATAACTTAAATGATGGATGACCAAAAAAAAAAAAATCAGTGTGTGAATGACTCCACCAAATCTTAAATCTTATATTTCATTTTGAATTCAAGTATATAGGTGAAATTAAAAATAAAATAAAATAAAATAATTGCTTTTCCAAAATTCACTACTATACAATTTGATAGAGAACTCATTATGACCAAAGTAGATGAAAATAAACAACAAATGGATGTAACTGGATAAAGTGAATGATGTTTTTAGCACAAAATAATGCCAAAAAGGTACTTCTAAAATTCTAAAAATTAACTAAATCACAAAAATTCATCATATCAAACCTAAAAACCAATTCACAACATAAAATTATCTACAAATAAAAGATCAAAACAGATTACATATCAAAAGCAACGTCATCAAAGCCATCTTCATACCCAGCATCACCGATATCTGACACCATATCTCCGACAATCAACCCTCCGATCAAACCAGCTCCAAATCCCGTCCCAAACTTATCCTTTTTTTTCTTAGGTTTCTCCACTTGTGGTTGTGGATACCCATATCCCGCCATCGCCGGCACCGGATATGCCTGCGGCGGTGGCGGATATCGAACACCCCCCCCCCCCCCCCCCCCCCCCCCCCGCGCCCGTCCCGCTTGCTGCAGCGGATAAGTATAAGGTGGCCGTGGATACGCCATCGCCACCCCAGCAGGCTGCGCGACCGTGGTGCTCACACCGATATTTGGTGGATGCACCGTCACAGGCTCCTGACCCTTCGCCGGCGCCGCCGTATGCGGCGGAGTAAACTTCCCATCGTACTTGTACGAGAATTTCAATCGGAGGTGGTGTTGCCGGCGAGGAGGTCTGGCAGCGGGACGTAGACGTAGTAGTTCATGTGGTGGTTCCACTTGGGTTTTGTTCCGCCGTGCTTGTCGGCGGGGGTCAGTTTCCGGACGCTGGAGATCGACGCCACCACGTAGACGTCCATCTTGGTCACAAGATTCACATCATCGAGTCCTTCGGCGGATATAATTGTGATGTCTAAAGTACGGTAGGCCATGTCTGTGTTATGCGATTGAGCAATTGATCGAAGAATCAAGATTGTGTGTGTATAATAGGAACAGAAAAGACGATATAGCGTGTGTCTGTGTCTGTGTCTGTGTGGATTTATGGACTAAATAGTTAATACACAGTGCGGTGTGTATTTATATAGAGGTGGCCAGGGTTTCTTGTTTAACAAGCAAGGAAAGTCAAGTGAATAATCCTTTCAAAAATTGGAATTTAGTAAAGGTTCAGGAAGCTACTGAGGAGATCACTTTATGGAAAGTGAATAATTTTTTTATTTTGTTTTCTCGTCCATTTAGAGTAACTTTCCATATTCATATTTCTATATCGCAACTAGTTTTGTTTTTTACTTCGTGTCTTCCTATCGGTTTATTTTCCATCTCATAATTCTTCACCAAAGCCTCTTTTGTTATTTAAAATTTTGCAAAATAAAAATCTATTTAAATTTTCATAGATTGAACTTTGCAGTCAAACCTCTCTTAAAATAGGCTCGACTCCCCATAACTATTAAGGGGTAGGTACTTGTAATACCAGTATTATCCTTTTACATGTAAAATAATGAAATTAGCCCTGTATTTTATACAAACCTCTTGTTATTATTGCCCCCATTATTATATAGTTCCAATTACCATAATTACTAATCTTTATCCTCCTAAAACCACTTGTAACACAAACTAACAATTTTTGTTAAATAACATTTTTCGAATCCCCCTCTGTCACTCATCAGCCATCAGTTAGCTTTAACTTCCAAAAAAAAAAAAAATTTAGAAGACACTTGCCTCAATTACTTAGTGAATTAGTATTTCATGTAAAAAAAATTAAAAGACCAAAGAAGTGGTTATTGACATTCCAAACAAAATTATATTGTTTTGGAAGTAACAACTTGGGGGACATTCCATCCAAGATGAGTCTTGCAACCCTAGTTTATTGTTGGGAAACGTGCAAGTTTTAAAAACTTTTCGAGAGATTTTGATTCATAGATCTTGATTCATTACATAGAGACAAGTTTTACGCAAAAATAAAAATATGATGTATCATTCAATTAACAGATTGAATACTTATATCAAAGGTCTGAGTAAACTTTTAAAACTTTCCTCTAAAGTAAATGTTCTCACTTATTGTAGATCCCTTAGCAAGATGCCTTCTTCTTGGATCTCCATCTTCTTGGTAGTTGTTTTGCCTTTAGGAATCACTCATAAGCCTCCATGAATGATCTTGGAAAACTAGGCTTGTGGGAGCCTCCATTAGACGAGAACATAAACCCTAATTTTCTAGAGAGAGAAAATAAATTCCTTTTTCCTTCTCATTAAAAATCACCCCCTAAAATATACATAGACCATGTATATTTATAGGCAACATAAAAATAAAGAAAAGGAAACAACAAATCCTTCTCCATCTCTAATTCATATGTCTCAAATCTAATATGATTCCAATATCAAGTTGGACTATGAGTGAGAATCCATTGGGCCTATTATTTTATTGGCTATAATGAATTAATAATTGTCCCGGTCCATGGACCCAATTCAATTAATTCATAAATTAATTTCTACTCCACTAAAAGAAATTAATTGAACTCCAATTAAATAATAAATAACCTCTAAGTCAATATTGCACTTTGACCCTTCTATGCATAATTAGTTATCGAATAAATAAAGCCATCAATCCGACTACTTAATTAATATATCTATTTTGGTACCTCTGATTATTTCTGACTCGATCACAATAAAACATTTGTTTGACAAAAATAATAATTTAAATAAATAAATATATAATAAATCATTTTGTCTAAAAACACATGAAGGCCTTCGAATTTTCTTTGTGATCAACCATAATCAATACAAAATAAATACAAGTAACAATGATGCAAATATTGAAAATATAACCCTCTAACTATTAATTACATAACTACCAAAAGTGTCGGTCTAAGGATCCCGAAGAATCCGCCGAACAAATCAAAGTAATTATTAATTAATAAAAGAGTCTATACTTTTCTCATGCTTAAGAGTTAAATGCCATGACGGTGATAGGGAGTAATTGCATACGACGGCTCTCGCAATATATCTTAACCTAACGCGGATCCAGTTCAAGTTTTAATTAATTATGAGTCCATCCATAATTACCGACTATGAACAATTTATAATTACTATTTATATATTATGCATTGATTGCAATCACATACATATATATAAATATTTCTTGTAATTACATGGACACTATCAATTTCATAGTGAATCGAAACATAATACATTGAATTCACCAATTATATAAATTATAAATATTTCAGATATGTCAGGAACATATGTCACTATAATCCAGATAGGAATTTGCTATGCCAGGGCATATAAATCCCAACAGCTCCCACTTGCCCTCATAGCCAATTCAAATTGCACCTAACTCCAATGTTATCCAGATGATGATCAAAATTATTGATCAAAGACACCTTTGATAATGGATCAACAAAGTTGTGTTCCAATGCAATGTTCTAACTATAAGTGCATTTTCTTGCTGGACAATATCATGTAGAACATGATACTTCCTCTCAGTGTATCTTGTTCCTCTATAGAACCTTGGGTCATTGGTTTGGACTACTTCTGCACTATTGTCACAACGTAGCTCAATAGGCAGGCTAGTATACTTCACAACCTCTAAATCAGTGAGATCAAACTAATAGGCTTCCTTTGCCGCCTTTAAGGCTGCAATATATTCCACCTACAGGTTTGAGTCAGCAGTTGAAATCTGCTTAACAATCTACCAACTGATCTCCCTTCCATTAAGTGAACATACACTAAGTCATGAACCTCATAATATCTACTTCTGATTGAAAATCAGAACTAGCATACCTGACTAGGACCATATCATCACATCCATATTATCACATCCATAAATGAATATGATATCATTGGTTCTCCTTAGGTACTTAATGATATTTTTCACAATAAATCAGTTGTCAAGTCCAGTATTAGACTGATCTCTACTGACTATCCCTACTATGTAGCGGATGTCCTGTTTGGTATAGACCATGGCATATATGAGACTCTCATATGCCGAAACATATTGTTCCAGTCTCATTTGCTCAATCTCGTTTGATAGTCTTGAAAAACTACTTACTAGAGAGAGCCATCCATATCAATAAAGTAAGAACTCATTCTTTGAGTTATGCATACCAAACCTGGTCAAAACTTTATCAATGTAGGATTATTAAGATAAGCCTATTTTCCTTTTAACCTGATCTTGCAAAAGCTTGATCCTAGGAATCTAGCTTACATCCTGAAAATCCTTCATTTAAAAGTAATTGAACAACTACCTCTTTATTGATGATAAAACTTCCACATCATTCTAAATGAGTAGGATGTCATCAATATATATAGAATTAGAAAAATAATGACATTCCCTTGTACACTCATGATTTATTCACTAAGAAATCTTCTGGTATCTTTTTGTAGATTAACTTGCCTTCTATAGGAATCACCCTACTAGAAAGTTATACAAGATCCCAGAATTTATTAGAATACATAGATTCCAACTCTGATTTCATAGTAACTCACCAAAACGATCTGTATCCACATCGGTTCACGCTTCCGTGTAGCTTACTGGGTCCAACTCATGTTTAACAGGGATGTCCATAATGGTCTCACCTAAAAACATGATTCTGTCGAATTGGATGATAATCCTCCCACTACATCAATGTACCGATGCAAGAATCTGTGTAGTAGATGATGCTAACGCATCAATAGGGAATTCATATATTATTCTCAATCTCTATAATAAGTATGTTCACATGTGGTACATCTGGTACTCATACCAAATTCTCTAAAATTATGCTACTAGGTATGCGATTCATAATATGATTCTCCTATAGATAAACAGTGAGTGAAAACAATCAACTTTTATCTTTGAGATCATAAAATAATCCATCCTAGTGACATTTAGAGTAGCTATCAAATCTAGCATGCCTATGATCTGCTTCCAACTTACTTGTCCATATCAAGCGCACATGTGCAAGACTACCCCATATGTGCATATGATTCAAACTAATATTTAGTAAAAAACACAGCTCAACGGTATCCTTGAGACAGACTAAGATGGAATGCAGTTCATAATGCGCATCGATGTCATTAACGCTAAACTCTTAAATGAAAGAGATAATGTAGCATAGCTGATCATAGATCTAACCATGTTAAGTGGAATTCTGTTATTCCTATTTGACACCTAAATACATTTAGCGTCAATTGCGGAAAACTGATACATAATACCCTCATTTACCATATAGTCTTTGCACTATCCCAAGAAATACTCATATCCTCGATCAGATCGAAGTGTCTTGATAAGTTTACCTAATATGTGTTCCACATCAGTCTTAACCTTCTCAGAAAATACCAAGAGTTTAAGACTTGTGTTGCATCAGATAAACTTATCCAAAACGTGAGTAATCTTGCTTGGATGTTCATAAGACCACACGTGTCAGTGTGTACCGACTCCAATTGTCCTTTGTGTCTATTTCATCTGGCTGATTAAGCCCTAAGAGTTATCTATCCTTCAAAACAGGGTTCACAAGTTTGGTTTAGGCTCCCCTGCCTCACTAGGTAATTAACCTTCTTTGACCAATCTTTGAATCTTATTTTGATTGATAACAACCCAAAAATAGACATTAAAAATACAATGAGTCAGGAATAACAATTTTTCTCTTAACATTCAATCTAGAAGATGCAACATTAGTTTCTACATCCTGCAAATCTTAAGAGTTTATGATTGTAGTATATTAACCATCTTTCAATGCACCAGAAGCAATCGCATATCTATTCAATTTTATAAAACCAGTTTTACAAAATAACAACACAGTTTTTATAAACCAAAAGTGAAATAAGAATGAGATTGCGTTTCACTTCTGTGCATAAAGATAGTTCTCTAATACTAATATCCTTATACTCTCTAATTTCAGATGTAATACTCCCACTGACTTAACTACAACCTTGGCATCAGGTCAAAAGATAATTATATATCCATATCATCAAGGCTTCTGGATTCC